TTTTCAATGCACCAGCATGTGCCTAGCCCTCCTTCTTCTCCCCAGATTACAGCAAAGCATTGCAGAAGCACCAAAATGACCCGAATGCAAAATGGCCTCGTGCAAGAGACACTGCTGGCTGTATGTGGGCAAAGCCAAGTGGAGGCAGGACATCCCACAGCAGGAATGCTGCCCACCTCTCTTCCCAAGTGTGATCATCTCCATCTCACTGCACGGCCCTGGAGTCTGTGCCTGGGGCCCAGAAACCTACTGTATGAATATGAGGAGAACTGGATCTTTCCTGAAAAACACTTGTTTGCCCATACCAGAGCCTGGGACTCTTTACAGCTGATGACGTTCACTGAGGCGATGTGTTTATATCTGCATTTAGCAAGCCCCTAAGCAGACGTGCTCCTTACTGTTGCATCGGTGAAGAAACAATGTCAGTGACTCTCCAGAGCTACCCAAGACCTGCCCCTCCTCTAATAGCTGTTACCTGCCCTCATGAGCAAGGGAAAAGTGAGATCTTTGATGTATGTTACTGATACAAAATAACGATGTGTGCTAGTAGCTACATGTGGCTTCTACTGGAGAGTTTAAAAAGTCATTTATTACTTTGACACTAAACTATATTCCTGTTTGATGCAAGAAGCTGTTACCTAGCAGTTCTGAATTTGGGGCTGGAATTGTGTATCTCTCTGTTCTGCTCAGCACAAACTTCACTTATAAATGTTACACAGCATTTTGTGAAATTACAGCCTAGTAAGGCTTTGATCAGGTAAGATGCTTAAGCTGTAAGTTTAAGCGCACAAGTAATCCCAGAGAAGTCCCAAGGAACTATTCACGTGCTTAAACCCGTGCTTGCCCCACTAGATCAAAACTTAAAATGAACAGACTACAGTTTGTAACCTACACCCTTCTGCATGGGCAAGCAAGGCAGCTCAAAATTAGGGAAAAAAATAATATAATAGAAGGTTGGAAAAAAAAATACTAATGCTAGCAGTTAACTGGGAAACAAGGTCTTAAAAAGAAAGCAACAGAGAAAAATGAAGCTGATGCAAATTCCAGTTTTACACTGCTGCTCCTGATAAAGAAACTATTTGCTGTTCTGAGGAAGAAGAAATAAGAAGAACAGAGAGTGGTGTTGCTTCCTTCCCACATCCTTTGCAAAAAGATGATAAAAAACGTCCCACACATCTTGCATATTAGCATCTGGCTAACAGATTTAGGCATCTGTCTACATGGCTGGCAAATTTCTCGAGTCTTTTCAAGTCTCAGTAATCAGAGAAAAGACTCGCGTGTTTGCCACACTGAAGGAATTGCAAGACTTCAGGACACGCTGGTCAATAAAGCAAGGTAATGAACGTCTGTGTACAAAGTTTCCAAAAATCTATGCTCCAAAGTAAATATCCCAGCGGTTAGTATTTATCTTTCTCGAGGAAGACAAATGCCACAGGTGTAAAGCAAACAGGCTTCTGGTATAAAAGCAAAACTAAGCAAATCAGCTGTATTTAAATTTGGGAGTCACTGATATCTGCGTATGAGGGACCAGATTCGCAGTCTTGCGATACTGCTCAACCAAGAGGAAAACAGTCCCCCTAGTGTGCTCTTCATGCAGAAAAGGCTGCGTTTCACAAGACAGTGCTGCAAGAAATCACAAAATAGCGTTATAGGAAAAGGTAGGGAAGTACTTCAACATGCTCGGGTGACACCAGGAACCTCTACTATATACGTGGATAGAAGGCTGTTTGGTTTTCTATTTTAAGACTACGGAGTATAGCAAATTGCTGCATCCTAAGTATTTGGGGAAAAAAAAAATGGGGAAAAAAAAGTCACCACACTAGTTCTGTGACTGCAGGACGTGGGTTGGGAAACAGACACTTGTATTTGGGAACACGGGGAGCTCTACCCATCGAGGAACCCCGTGGAAGTAACTGCAACACCCGGCCTTGCAGTGGAGCCAGCTCCCTCGCAAACCTTTCCCCCCAGCTCCGGTGATAGCGGATTTAAACGCTGCCTTCCCACAACTATTCCAGACAGTCAGCAGATATCGAAGCATGCATCTAAACCCTTCCCCGTGATTCAAAAGCACGCAGGATCACACTGAGCTGGGCTGAGGGTGGCATGCACCAGCGTGTGAAGCACGCCGGCTCCAGGGGGACGCCCTGCAGGCTGCTGCCCCTCTGAGCTGCCGGGCAGCGCTGGTGTAGCTGACATCCCACCGGGGGACAAAGCAAGGAGGCTGCTGGCGTGTGCACGGGGCAAACCTTATCTGAAGGAGCGGAAACGTAATATATGCCTTCCTAACCACATCTGAAATATTCACTTCTGCTTTAATGCCCTAGGCGAAAAAGAAAAAAAAAAAAGAAAAAGAAAAAAAAAAGTGTAGCCGAACGATAGTTGTAACTTTAATTTATAGCTCTTAGAATAATTGTTTTGAGGAGTGTAATCCTGGCTATGCTTACGGATTATGGTCTTCAGCACATCTCACTGGAAACAGCATTAATATTTCACATATAATAACACATAACAAAACAAGTTACCTTTGTTTAAAATGACAATTTTCCCTCTCAGGGCTAGAGGAGAACGTTGCTAAATGTACTTACAGCCTTCAAGGATGAACTTAGTTGTGTAAAAATATTCTAAATTAAGATAAAAGCCTCCTGATGCAGAAGTATTTTCTGTTCATTTAAAACCTCAGGGTAACTAGCAATCTGAAAAAAAGTCTGATGTGAAAAGCTGACATTAGTTCCTGAAGAGTTGTATTCATTACCTGTGAGGGAAACAGAGATGATAATAACATATAATGTGTTTTAGCATCGGGAGACTAAGATGGAGTCTCTATTTAAGAGTGGTGCCTCTGCAGAAACTCATTTACTTTCCAGGCGACTGAAGTATTTCTCTCCTGAACGTACAGGCACGGCTTGAAAGGAACTCTTGCCCTGCTAGGAGCTACATTTTGCAGTTCTGGAAGCCTAGCAAATGATTAGCTCCTGACCTCTCCTTTGCCCCTTTCAGGACGCCCCTACCACCCACACACAAACTCACGCTCCCTGAACGCGACCCAACGCCTTACCCTAACTTTCAAAGGCAGCTCACAGTCATTTAAAGAGGGAGATTTTTCTGCCACCGACATGCCTGCACGTTCTGCAAAAGGTCATCCTGAAGGCTTGCGAGGAACTTCTGAACTAAATTATATCGGAGAAATCTCAAGGGATCCAAGTTTTTAACATTTTAATTAGCTCCAAGTACCAGTTAATGCTGCTCAGAAAAGGAATCAATATCAAATTAACAGTATAAATTGTCAGAAAAAAAAAATGTGACTGTATTAAGCATACTAATCGATGTAAAGCACTTGGCGTTACGGCCCGGATCCTGCTTCTGCTGAAGCGAATGGGAGTTTTGCCACCCAATTCAGCCAAAATGCTACCAGCTTGATAACCTGGTGAGTTGTCTTTCAAGGCAGGTATTTACTGAAAATTCAAAGGATCAGATAAAAAAAGCAGGATTTGTCACAGCAGCTGACAGCTAAAGCTCCTGCCTCTCTCTGCACATGATGCCAAACTACTCAAGGAGGCCGGGGCTGCCGTGGTGAGATTTAACCCTTTGTCACGATCCGTGTCACATTCGTAAAGTCACTTCAAAGCCCTGCACCTCGCACGGCAGCGAAAGCTGCATGACCGATCCCTGTCTTTTCAGAGCCTTGTCTCGAACCAGCTGTGCCACCGATATAAACTTTGTGCTCATACCTCCCCAAGCCTGAGATGAGCACATCAGCAGAATGCTTCCTCTACAGGGCTCTGCCTGGAAGGTAAAAACCGTACAGCTGCAAAATTCAGCTCCTGACAGCAGGTCCTACTCGGGAACCGAAATGTGAGACAGAGCTGCTGGCACGAGCACAGCCGGAGATGTTTCATCCCCGCGATACCTCTGACTGATTCGCCGCACAGAAGTTATCCCCTGCTCCAAAGACTGAGAGATCCGCAGGGTAAAGCCGATTTCCCTGTAAAACCAACAAACTCCCCCACCAATTTACCTTTTGCTCACTCCCCGTCGGATGCCCAGAACATCATCCCTCGGCTCCATCCCACCAGGATCTCCCTCCCCAGCCGGGAGCCGCGTCCAGCAGCACCCTCCTGGCTGCGTGGACCTGACATTTCAGCATCGGGGACACCGAGGGACGGCCCTAGGGAGCAGGGAAGGATGGAGCAGGTCCGGGACGAGCTCGCAGCCTGCCTCGCATGCCGCACCAGCCGCTGCTAGGCCTCGGGCTGCGCGCAGGAGCGCAAAGCCCCAGCTGCACGCCGCGTGCGCTGGGTAAACAACCCACAGACCGGGCTCCATCGGCTTCTTTTCAGCTCACTTATTGAAACAGCAGCGATCCGGGCTGCTGGCTGGCACCACCACGGGAGGAGCAGCCCCGAGAGCAGCACCGTCAGCGCAGGGGACGCCAAGCCAATGTGCGGGGTGGCCACACGGCCACCAGCTCCACGGCTCGGCCAGCGTCCCGGAGAGACGCCAAGCCCCGGGTTTCCCTCTGCTGCCTGTGGGGCACGTGTGGCAGATCGCTGGGTTTGCTGTGCTGCTGTGGTTTTGTGATTTTTTTTGTTGCTTTTTTTTTTCCTTGAAGGAAACAGGAGCTGCTCTGGCGCTGAGCTTTGAGACTAGGGCTGGCGCTGCGTGAAAGCAACTCCGCTCGCTGCAATCGCGAGCCATACGGTGCGTGCAACTTCAAAACAACAAGCCTTGGAGAATAATGTTTATGGCTTTAAATAAAGCCCTTTTTAGACTTTTGGGGGCACTTTTTATCCTCTTCCTGCTCGCCCCCACCTACAGCAGACCAGCCTGCTCCAGCATCTCCCCTCACTCCACCACCTGCACAGGGCACCAGCGACGCACCCCACACCCCCCACACACCCCATTTTACCCCCGTTAACCCAATTTTTAATCAAAACCCCACGCCGGCTGCCACATCCCACTCGCGGCAGGCGACGGGGCGACCCCCAATTTCTTCCCCTCACCTTCCAGCCGGCCGAGCTGTTGCTGTCGCCCTTGTCCTTGAAGTAGGGCACGCAGCGGACCATCCAGTCGTAGATCTGCGACAGGGTGAGCCGCTTCTCGGGCGAGCTCTCGATGGCGCGGGTGATCAGGTCGGCGTACGACAGGTTGCCCCAGGCGTTGCGCCGCGACGAGCACTTCCTCGGCGCTGCCGCCGCCGCCGCCGGGCTCCCACCGAGCCCCCCTCCTCCTCCTCCTCCTCCTCCTCCTGCAGCACCCCCTGGGGATGAGCTCGGCCCCTCCGAGCCCCCCCCGGGCAGCGGGGCCAGCAGCCGAGCCGCCTCCTCCGGCACCACCGCGGCCGCCGCCGCCGCCTCCTCCTCGCCGCCGCCGCCGACGGCCATGGCCGAGGCGCCCCCCTCGTCGTCGTCGTCCTCCTCCTCGGGGATCATGGAGGCGGCGTCGGCGGGCGGCTCGCCCGGGGGCTTGGCGGGGCTGGGCTGCAGCTCGGGCCTCTGCAGGGGCCAGGTGCAGGAGCGGGGGCGGCTCTGCGGCTCGAACTCGGGGTCCAGCTCCACGGCCAGCGGCGACAGCGGGGCGGGGGGCGACGCCTCTGCCATCTTGGCCCCGGGGCGCTTCACTCCATGCGGGCAGGACAGGACAGGACAGGACCCTCCCCACACACACACACCCCCTTTGGTCCCGGAGCCTTCGGGGTACAGCCGAGACTTTGTGGTTTTTCCTTTTTCTTTTTTTTTTTCCCCTCTTTTCTTCAGAGCGCCCTAAAGGGAGCCCGAGTCTTTGCAGCCGGCCAGGTGCATGCTAGCGGGAGCCCGTCACTTTGCGGTGCCCCCTCCGCCCCAAAATCTGGTGAAGGCCACCCCGGGGGCTTCAACAAAAAATAATAATAACGATTAAAAAAAAAAAAATCGCCGATTAAATCCTTCTTCTCGCAGGGAGCAGATCAAATCGCCGGTCTTCCAACAGGTCCGGAAGCTTTCAGCCCTCCCCAGGGCCGCCGCCGCCGAGCAGGGGTTTTGTTCCAGCAGCAACACCACGCTCATAACCTCCTTGCTCCTGCTGCTGCCATCTTGACAGCTTTCCCCCCTTTTCGCTCAAGTCATTCCCCGAGCCCGGGCACAGCGGGGGAGAGCAGCACCGGGAGGGGATGCGGGGGGGGGGGGGGGGGGGTGTCCGCGGCCACCTCCTCGCCGCCAGCAGCAGCGGCAGCAGCAGCGATCCCGATTGCCGGGGAGGCAAAAGCAGCGCTGCCGCACGGCTCCTGCTGCTCCTGCTCCTCCTGCTCCTGCGCCTTGGGCTCCTCGGAGCCTTCCCTTTAAAGGCGAAGGAGGCGAAAGCGGCGGAGCCTCCGCGAGCGGCTGGCGAGAGCCGAGCGATCCCAGCAGCCGGGCTGCCGCAGCCCTCCCGAAGAGCAGCAGCAGGCTGTCACTCGGCTGGTCGCCGGCTCCTCGCACATCCCTCCTCCTCCTCCTCCTCCTAACAACCACGGGCAGCAACACAAAGTTATAGGCGCACGCAGGGAGCCGCAACCTAACCGCACGGCGCCGCCTGGCCCGCCCACGGGCGGTGTCGCGCAGGGGCCGCCCCGGCGGGGAGGGACCGGGGTGGGATCGGGGCGGCCGCTGCAGTGGTCCCCGTGTCCCCGTGCTGTCCCCCAGCTCCTCCTCTGCTCCCCCGAGGGGAGCTGGGGGAGGTTTTGGGGCTTGGGGGGCCGGCCCGAGTGGCTGGGTGCTGTGGGAGGTGCGGAGGTGTGCGGAGTGCGGCGTGGTGCTCCAAGGGACCCCGTATTCCCATATTCCTCACTTCTTGTGGTTTTTAAGCGACGCAAATCCATACTTTGGGTTTTTTCGTCACGTCCAACACCTCTTCAGCACCTTGCTCTGCCTGAAAACCAGCGCTGGCTGCCACAGCCACGCTGCTTCCCCTCCAAATCACCCTCATGGGCCATAAATTGGTGTACAAGTTACAGCAGCGAGCTTTATTTTGGGGAGCCCGATTCATCCTGCCACTTCTCAGGACTTCCATGCACCCACGTGCGCGCAGTCCCGCTGCCCCGAGCACAAGGCTGTTGCAGAGAGCCCGCCGGAGCAGCTCGCCTGACGACGCAGCTAATTACGGGTTGGGAGAAGGGCTGACCCACAAAGCCGAAGGATATAGAGCTATTAATACGGATGTCGTTACAAATACAGAACATAGCGACGTGTACCTATCAGTTCTTGCCCGGTCTTGGGTCAGCCTCGTCACGGACTAGATTCAGGGCAAAAACAGGGTCGGCTCGGGCACCAGACAAAAAAGCACGCGTGCTTCTGAAGCGTTTCTCCATAGAACTGCTATTTTCTAGACAAATTATTCCTGATTTATCTGGCATCGCAGACGAGCGATGAGGTTTGAAAACCGTTCGGTGCGATTAGAGAGCAGGAAGGCCCTGATCCCGGATGCCTCACACGTCCTGCTAAGTAAGGGCAACAGCCCTCCGGCTCCAGATAGGCTTCGAATTCAAGTGGCACTCGTTAGGAGTAGTTCAGCGTGATTTTATTACCAGGGACAGCGTTTCAGCATGCATACAATTAATCCTCAGCTGTCTAAATATAGCAGGAGACACTGAATTAATCAGAATAAATGCAGGTTCGGGTCATGGAAATGATTTTCACTGCAGCTCCCTTTTGGGTCACCACATCGCGTGCCCCGCTGCGGCTCTCGTTGCGACACGGCCCCTCACGGGAATGCGAGGCAGCTGGGTCCCTCAGAAGGACACCACCAGCTACTGATGGTGTTGGGAACATTTTTTAGCAGCTGCTAGGGGAGGAGGAGTACAGTAACACTGAAGAGTCACGAACCAAGAGGGTGTGTGATGGGAAGGTGCTTGGCCAACGACCTCGTTCGTCCACGAGGAGGCCCTGCTTGTGACATGCAGCAGAGCCAGAGCAGCTGCCAAGCTGTGCCGGACACCAAAGCCTTTCCCAAAACCTGCCGGTGCTCGGGGCTGCGTGTGGCCGGCGCTGAAACCTCCCCGCAGAGCGTTTCCTCAGGTCCCGAGGTTCCGGGGAATTGCAGTGCTCTGACCTTGGGCTGGATTACAAGCTGAAAATCTCGTCCTAAATGATATTATCGTCTTCATTTATTTATTTAATTGGCATTGCATTACTGCACAGGCATCACCATTAGGGCTCATTGTACTAGGTGAAGGCCCTGCACGTGGTCAGAAATGCTCCACTCCCAGACAGAATTGCAGCCTAAGTAAGGCAGGCCAGGGCGGGAGAAAGGAAATAAGTAGTAACCCTATTAAAGAGATGATGGACTGAGGCACTGAGCAATTACATGACTCTGCTGAGGTCATACAGGAAGCCCGTGTCAGAACTGAGAAATAAAACCAGATCTCCCGAGTGCCAGCCCCGGCCCTTTACTGCAGGATTACCTTTCCTCCTCAAAATCCACGGGTGTTGCAGCCACGCAGCATTAATCGTGCAAGTCACTGTACCGGTTCCCCATACCTCCGCGCAGCATTTGCGTGCGCGTTATAGTGCCATTTAGAGGCAGGATTAAAACCACAGCTTAATTGTTCCTATACATTTGGCTTACCAGATGTGTGCGAGCCACATGGAAAGACAGAGGAACCCGTTGTTACCACTGTGCTGTGACTGGGACCACTGCAGTGAAGTATAAAAACTGATCAAAATTGAATCTAAAACCTGCACGATTTCCAGTCTCTTCTGTTAAGCACTTCAATGCCCCCAGGGTGGGATTTTCAGAAAGTCTCAGTTTATGGGAGTTTTATCGCTAACTTCAACAGGAATAAAGTTAGGCCAGCCCCGAGGCCATCTGAAAAACTCGCTCACTTACTGTGCCTACTTAGACTGAGAGTGTTTCAGTGCTGTGTCTTCCTCTGCACCTCCTTTTATACACTTGAGTAGGGAGAGCAGATATTAGGAACAAGTATCCATTAGGAACAAGTATCCAGTATGGTGGATTAGGCAGCCACCTTCTTACAGAGAGGGTTGCGTGGCAATCACTTTTTTGGATAGAAAATGGAGTTCAGTGACTTCTATGCAACCATGCCTTTTCATTGAATCACAGGAAGGACCTCCATAACAATGTATGTGTTGGCAAGCCGTCCTACACCTTTTTAAGTAATGTATTCCTTTAAAAGCTGTTCTCCATGCCATAGACAGGACCCGATATGGATCCAGTGGGGTCACAGCTCCTTTGCAGCTGAGTCATTGCTGTGTGTTATCCAGGTCACACATGGACCATTCAAGACCTGTGAGATGAGGGGCCTATGGCATAGTGCCTAGGGGAAAGTAGCAGTCCTATGACAACCCTCTGGGTGGCAATCCTTATAAGTGATTTTTCTTTGTTGAGATTAAGTCTTTTAAGCTTTTATGTTCGACTACAGAAGGCTATTGTCAGCTCAGTTTTCCTCCCGAGTCTTCCATTTTGTTGATTCAGAAAGTCAGCTTCTCATCAGATGTTCGTGCACCAGTTTCTAGCAGTAACCCAGATCTGATCACTCCTTCCTTCTGCCATAACCTACATTCCCGCTGGGCTGGTAGCTGGAGAAGTGCAGGTCACGTTTCTGGCTTTGCCTCTTTCTACAAACAGGCTATTGCAGAAGCATAGGTGTACACTTGGAGGCACAGCTAAAGTTGCCTTGGGGTGGGGGGGCAGACCTGGAACTTTTCCTCACCCTTATCACCATCCATTGTAAAGAGTAACTGCTGTTCAGCAAGACAATGTTATACTGCAGTTACCTTAAACAATGGCTGCATTGTCTGCATGGACTTCACACAACCAAGTACATAACGGGCCCTTTTGTGAGCCACCTGCAGCCAGGTCTCCAAAGGCTTCGTGCCCACTGCAATAACTGTGCCTAGCCCTCCCATCGGCAACTTCTGACTATTTTTTTTGTTCTTCCCACAGTTCGTTACTAAACACGGGCTGGGCAAAGGGCAGCGGGTTTTGCGCCCAATTCAGAGCAACCTGAGCACTGATTAGAAAATGTCATCTAGGAGCCAGCCAGCTTCAGACTTTGAGATTTTAGCTTTTCTGCCCAATTTGGCTAAAACTGGCTAATGGGCTCCAAAGTTATTAAGGAAAGATTGGCTGACTGGCAGATAGACACAGAGCAAGGGTCCAAACGGTGCCGTGGAGACACAAGGGGGTTGCCAAAGACAGCAACAGAGTTCCCACTCCAAAATTTTCCTCAAAGGGATGAGCTGCAATTTAGAGATCAGTTGAGGTTGGATCTCAGCCTACGAACTGGCTGACCAAACGCTGTAACAGAGGGGAGGGGAAGGAAGAGAAGTGCAGCAGCAGAAGGAAACGGCGACATTACTACTCTTCCCCCAATGATCTTGATGGTTTGGGGAGCACAACCTTTACAACTGAACCCTCAAAACCAACCAAATAATAAAAAAAAACAACTGGAGGTGGGAAAATTCAACCCCGTAGCTTCAAATTGTTATTAAAGAGGCCTCCCTCCTTGTAGGACAAGACTCCCAGCTCTTCGTGGATGGAGGAGGGTTCCCATCAGCATTTAATTCATCTAATAACAGCCACACGTAACCCCACACAGCTGTGCCACCAGCTCTCTCAGCTTTATTTACAAGCCCCAGAATAGTGGTGTTTTCCTGAAATCCCCTTTTTTTAAAGTCGTGTTAAGGACACGGCGCTCGGCTTCCATCTTAACCAGCAGCCAAGTTTCTGACGCGCCGTGGACATGGCCCAAGCACACTTCTAGGGCCAGGAATAGAAAAAAAAAATAAATAAGAAAACTGATTGCCTTTTACAAAACCTTTTAAATCTGATTTTTATTGTATTTTTTTTAACTTTGCACCATAGCTTGTGAACACTCGGGAGTAAACGCAATAACCGGGCTTGTGTTACGGTGAAGTGAACCAAACCAGTAAGACCCATCGAGAAACACTTTATTATTATTATTATTTTTATTTTGTGGCATTCAGCTCAGGTGGCATCAGAGGATTTAATCCTGTCAGCGCCGCGGGGGCCGTTTAACCGCCCCCCCCCGTCCCCCCCGTCCCCTCAGTCACGGCAGCCCGCGCTAGGCCGCGGCCGTTAACGCCCGCTCCCGCCCTAAACCCCGCCCCTTCGCTGAGGCCCCGCCCCCTCGGCGAGGCCCCGCCCCCTGTCCGCGGCCCCGCCCGCACCAAGCTAGGCTGCGGCGTGCAAACAGATGATGTCATGCTCTGGAGCCGCGCGTGACCGCCGGGGCCCGCCCTCGCCGCCTATTGGCCGGAGCCCCACGCCCGTCAAGGCGGCGCCGCCTCCCATTGGCCGGCGCCTCCGCCCCGCCACCGCCCCCTGGAAAATAATAAACAATCGAGTAAAGCGGGGTGGGGGGCGGCGGGGCTGCCTCAGGGGGCCGTTAAACGGCCGCTGGGGACCGCTGCCCCTCAGGGGCTGCCCCTGCCCGGTGCGCCGTTAGCTGAGGGGAGCTGAGTGATAGCCCTCGCAGCCATGGTGCTGCTGCACGAGTCCCCTGTGTAATAAATGGCCCTAAATAACTGGCACGATGGT